GGAGCTTGTGTATNTCATAGAGAAATGAAAGCAAATTATGTTGGCCTGCTGGTGGCAAGTCGGATTGCCCACGCCGGCAAATGGTAACACAAGCTGGGTGTTCGAGTTATCATACATCGTCATCTCAGAATTCCATTGTGAGATACGCGGCAGCTTTCGGGACGAAAGTTAGCGCGAGAGGCGTTGATGTGACTTTTGAGGTCGGTGAATGGAGGCAGCTAAACTTGTTTGTGCTCATACGGTCTTTCTTAGCTACATGCGAGATACCTTGCAATAGAGAATGCTGTATAGTACCGATAACGCGTTTCAGCCTGGTGAAATATTATGTTTGGTCCGTTACACACTCAAGGCCTGGGAGTTCGAGTTATCATACGCCGTCATCTAAGAATTCAAATATGAGATACGCGGTACCTTTTGAGATGAAATTTAGCGCGAGAGGCGTTGATGTGACTTTGGCCTTGGTCAATTGAGGCAGCCAAACTTGTTTGTGCTCATACGATTTTTGTAGGCTACATGCGAAATACCTTGCAATAGAGAATGCTGTATAGCACCTATAACGCGTTTCAGCCAGGCGAGATATTATGTTTGGTCCGTTACAGACACACACACACACACACACACACACACACACACACACACACACACACACACACACACACACACACACACACGGACATGGGCAATCCTACAGGTCGGGGCCCCCCTGGGCGCTTCGCGCTGGGGCCCTGCCCAAAAAACACTGGAACGAACTCTATTCGATCAGTGTTTGAGAGATTGTGGTGACGCGTGTTGCGGCATTCCCCACGGCGTTTGCACGAAGTAAACTGTAACTCATCGGGAGGGGTCTGGGGGGGGGCGGAGCCCCCCCCCGCGCCTTACAGATTCGGAATACTTTTATTCCCGCGACTAAAAACCTATACCTCCGTTCGGACTGGAAAATTCACCGGCAAAATTGAAAAGAAAAACACTGGAACGAACTCTATTCGATCAGTGTTTGAGAGATTGTGGTGACGCGTGTTGCGGCATTCCCCACGGTGTTTGCACGAAGTAAACTGTAACTCATCAAGGGGGGTCTGGGGGGTGGCCTTACAGATTCGGAATGCTTTTATTCCCGCGACTAAAAACCTATTCATCCGTTCGGACTGGAAAATTCACCGGCAAAATTGAAAAGAAAAGCACTGTCCCCTGATGCCTCTATCCACTGCCGCCTCCTCCCCAGCTGCCTCCTCCCCTGCCGCTCCTCCCTGGCCGCCTTCTCATCTGCCGCCTCTATCCCCTGCCGCCTCTTCCCCTGGCGCTCCTCCCCTGCCGCCTTCTCCCTTGCCGCCTCTATCCCCTGCCGCCTCCTGCCCTGCCGCCTCTATCTGCTGCCGCCTCCTCCCCAGCCGCCTCCTCCCCAGCCGCCTCCTCCAGCCGCCTTCTCCCCTGCCGCTCCTCCCCGGCCGCCTTCTCACCTGCCGCCTCTATCCCCTGCCGCCTCTATCCCCTTCCGCCTTCTCCCACCCCTAGGGTGTACATGTGCATGACGTCACCTTCCGTTTGTGCGCAACTGAAAATGACGTGACCAATATCAGACTTGTCACAAAACCTGAATAAGCTCTATCCCCTGCCATCTCCTCCCATGCTGCCTCTATCCTCTGCTGCCTCCTTCCCTGCCACATCCTCCCCTGTCGCCTCTAAGCCCTGCTGGTCCTGGCCTGCCACCTTCTCCCCTGCCGTCTCATCCCCTGCCGCTTCCGTCCCCTGTCACCATCTCCCCTACCGCCACTATCCCCTGCTGCTCCTCGCCTGCTGCCTCATCCCCTGCCGCTTCCGTCCCCTGCTGCTTCTTGAATTGAATTGCTACAGAGAGGGAGGCTTCCGGGCCATTTGAACACATCATCATTTCTACGATTTATCATACCATACAGCACCATCCACCATTACCACACTGTACTACAGCATACGAACTGGTAGTTCACGGCGGTTGATCCTGCCTCCTAGCATCCGAGCATCTGCAGAGACAGAGGGTTCAGCAAACGCCACCAATCCAGCGTGCGAATCTCGATCCATCATCTGTGATCTCAACTTCACATCTCAGCAGCTAGCCATTATCTCATACTCCCGACTAGGTCGAGTGTTTCCCCAGGAATCGAATCTAGGACCTTGAATTGCATATGGCTGTACGAACTGTATATGACAGTAGTGCCGGCCAGAACAGACCTGCTGCTTCTATCCCCTACCACTTCTGTCCTCTGCCGCCTTATCCCCTGCCGGCTCCACTCCTGCCACATCCTCCCCTCCTCCCCTGCCGCCTCTATCCCCTGCCACCTTCTCCCCTTCCGCTTCCTTCCCCGCCGCCTCTATACCCTGCCGCCTCTATCCCCTGCCGCCTCTGCCCCTGTCGCCTCTATCCACTGCCTCCTCCTTCCCTGCCGCCTCCTCCCCAGCCACCTCCTCCCCTGCCGCTTCCTTCCCCACCGCTTCTATCCCCTGCCGCCTCTATCCCCTGCCGCCTCTGCCCCTGTCGCCTTTATCCACTGCCTCCTCCTTCCCTGCCGCCTCCTCCCCCGCCGCCTCTATCCCCTGCCGCCTCTATCCCCTGCCGCCTCCTCCCCTGACGCCTCCTCCCCCGCCGCCTCTATCCCCTGCCGCCTCTATCCCCTGCCGCCTCCTCCCCTGCCACCTCTATCCCCTAGCACTCCTCGCCTGCCGCCCCTGCTGCTTGTCCCCTGCCACCTTCTCTCTTGCCGCTTCTATGGATGGCAGACTGTGCCGTAGCCCTCAGACAGAAAGGAGAGCAAGAAGACATCTTTTTGCCCTTTTTTTACTTGCTCTCACTTTCTTTGGGAACTTGCTATCACTTTCTTCGGGAATGCATCCAAGGAAACTGACATGTTTCGAACTTGGTGTTCAGAAACACTGACTCTCACTTTCTTCGGGAACGCGTTTCTGGCTTTCTTTTACTTGCTATCCCCTGCCGCTCCTCCTCTGCTGCCTCTGCCACCTCTCCCCTGCCTCCACTATTTGTAGCAAGCTACATTTACCTTAAGAATATCTTTAAGCTATTAAAGCTTAATCACAGTAACGGTACGGTCCTGTAGTTAAGAACCATACTCGTTAACTGTAAGAACTCACTTTCTGTTGCGCTATCACAACCTAGCATACGACAACAAGACTCCAGGAATGGAGATGGCGGCAGGTGGGCAGCATTTAAGCCACCCTGGTGAAGTGCTTCGGCCAAACTTTCGTATAACTATACCAGTGTTCGGAGTTCAAGACTCTGCTGTCACTGTTCTCGACTTATGTCTTCGAACTCTGATTTCCCGTACCGCTTCTCGCTCCTAACCCTTAGCCGTCCTTCGTGGTCAAGGCCCTCTTCTCCCACTGCTTTACAACCCAACACTTCCGCTGAAACGCCTAAGGTAGGAGACGGCTGTTACACTATCCCCTGCCACCTTCTCCTCTGCCACCTCCTCCCCTGCCGCTCCTCGCCTGCCGCCTTCTCCCCTGCCGCCTCTATCCCCTGCCACCTTCCCCAGTACTACAGCGTAGTAGAGCTCTGGACAAGTCGGGTGTCGGCTTCGGGGAAGCCGGAAAAAGGGTGGGGCCCCCCTGCATCCGTACAACCGGTAGCTAGCGCGGCAAGTGTGACAATTGATGGGTAGTGTTAACGCGGTGGGAGATGTGCTTGTTGCAGCAGTGCTGATGGTGTGGGAGCTAAGCTTGCACCGGCGGAATCGTCAGCACCGCCTGCGGGCTCCACGCGAATCGCATCCATTCCGGGTGCACGCCGCATGGACAGTGCGGCAGACCGCAAGTCGGAATGCCCGTGCGGGCAAATGGTAACACAAGCTGGGTGAAGTTTGGTGCTGTCTGTGATGTTTAACCCCGAAGCGCCAGCGGCCTCAGCCACAGCCGCGAGCTTCATCGCGGCACACCGCAAGTCTCCGGAGGCCCTGAGCATTGGCTAAAGTAAATGTACAAACGAGCAGCTTGCGTATTTAGTAGAGAAATGAAAGCAAATTTGTCGGCCTGGTGGCAAATCGGAATGCCCGTGCGGGCAAAAGGTAACACAAGCTGGGTGTTCAAGTTATCATACGCTGTCATCTCAGAATTCAATTATGAGATACGCGAGATGAAATTTAGCCCGAGAGGGCAAGCCCGTTAACATGACTCTGAGCTCGGTCAATGGAGGCAGCCAAAGTTGTTTGTGCTCATACGATCCTTGTTGGCTACAGGCCAGATACCTGCAAAAGAGAATGCAGTATACTGCCGATAACGCGTTTCAGCCGGGTGAAATAGTATGTTTGGATATGTTTGAGGCCTGGGAGTTCGAGTTATCATACGCCGCCATCTAAAAATTCAATTATGAGATACGCGGTACCATTTGAGATTAGATATAGCCCGAGAGGCGTTGATGTGACTTTGGCCCCGGTCAATAAAGTTGTTTGTGCGCATTTGTGCTCGTACGATTTTTGTAGGCTACAGGCGAGATACCTTGCGACAGAGAATGCAGTATGTTACCGATAACGCGTTTCAGTCGGGCGAGATATTCTGTTTGGTCCGTTACACACGGCCACACGGACATGGGCAATCCCACAGGTCGGGGGCCCCCGGGGCGCTTCTCGCTGGGGCCCCGCCCAAAAATGAGCTTTCTGTTTCCAGTCTAGTTTGTTGAGAAGTGATTTGTCGTGGCTGGGTCGCGGTTTATTGGGTGAGCTTCAGTGCTGCTATGCCGCAGGTCCTTGTAGTTTTAGCCCGGTTGATATCTTGCTTCGTAAGGTACGCAGCGTAAGAGCCCTTAGTATCTGTCCGATTCTGTGCTTTATGCCTTGCCGCTAAACCGTTCTGGCACAAACAGCTTTTCCCTCATGAGGAATAGCCGGGATTCAGGAAATAAGGAAGACAGGAGCACAACGAGTTGTTTCTGTTGATTGAAAGTTGCACTTAGCTGACCCGTCTTCTCACCAAGCTGTCTCAAGCACTAATCTAACTCGCGTGAACCCGCATCTTAATTGCTGCCAGCGACCACCGGACGCCAGTTAAGATTATGTTTTCAGCACGTCTGTAGTTGCACTGGCACCAGGTGCTCAGTCGGTTTTAGGTCAAACTTTTTTACGTATTGACAAAATCTGAATGTGCACCAGCCGTAAAGCGTGAAATGTCGGCCAGATGCCAGCCGTTAAGGTGCAGCCATCGCACCAAATCCACAGATGGTGAACACATATGTTCCCTTAATATCGTGTATGCGGTACAACTGATGGCAAGAAGAGTCCTCTCACCGTGTGACCCGTCCGACCCAACTTGATGCACAGTATCCTTTCTGTACAACGATGTCACATGTGTTACCTATTTACGCGGCTTCCACAAATCTGCAGATGTGCTGGAACCCACTGCTGTTGCGCCCATACCACCACCAAGGGCACCGAAGCCACTGGGCCCTGTGGTCCCGAAAGCAATGCCCTGCGCCGGCTGCTGCTGTGTATTGGAGCCAAAACCTCCAAAGCCAGCGGCTTGGCTTGTGAAGGCACCAAATCCCCCACCAGCTGGGGCCGGAGGTGTCGGTGCCGAGCTGGAAAAAACCCCAAACCCACCCCCAGAGGGAGCCGCAACCCCACCCGTGCCAGCAGCTTGCACTGCGAACCCTGCAAATGCATTAACACCAGCGGCGGCATTGCCTGCCAGGAGGCATCAGGAACAGGACAAATCTGTAAGCCAGTGCAAGTTACATTGACTGAAAAAAGTAGAGATGTCCACAGTGTAGGTGACAAGACGGCATGGAATGCAAGGAAGCAGCTTAGACCCATGGTATGGTTGGAATCTCTTCACCATGAAAACATTCCCCAATGGATGTCATGGCTTCGGGGACGTGTGCATACCATACCACATAGTCCTGCCTTCTGAACTACTGATAAGACTTACCTAAGCCGCTGCTTTGGCCAAAACCTCCACCAAATGGAGCTGTAGGAGCTGCTGGCGCCGCCGGGGCTGGGGAACCGAATGTGGAGGGCGCACCGAAGCTGGCCCCAAACACGCTTGTGCCCAATGCTGATGCTGCCGACGCTGCATGGCTGCCAGAAGAGCCAAAAGCCGGAGCTGCACCGCCTCCCAGCGTTGCCGGGCTACCAAATGATGGAGCCACTGTTACACGTGGGCTGCTAAATGCCGGTGCCTGGCCAAAAGTTGAAAAAACACCAGCTTGAACAGTGGGCATGGCTGCCTTGGACTGAATGCCGCCCTGGGTGCCGCTGAAGGGCCCAGCCAAAAAGGCGGCTGTACTTGGGGCAGAGCTTGTTCCGCCAATAGCAGAGGAAGCAGCTGTGGATGCCGAAGGCTGACTTGCACCACCTGCAGCTATTGTGTTTGATTGTGAACTGAAGACACTAAAGCCAGAAGCTCCTAGAGTAGCGCTGTTAGCTGCAGCACTGCTCGCAAACGCACCAAAAAGGGAGGTACCAGCTGGAGTCGCAGATGCAGCCGGCCCAGTGGCACCAATAGATGCAGTCGTAGCACCTACAAGGTGACGGTGGGCTCTGGGACCTTGATAACAGGCAATGCAGGCGGTTGCTACATGGAGACCTTAACATTAAACCATGAAATACTAAGCCGCTGCTGCACAGCATATGATAGATAAAGCTCGGCTTGTCTGCAAGCATATGATTAACGAGCTGAATCGTCATTACACTATAGATCTACTTTATCCGCTTCTTACCAAAGCTTGCAAACGGTGACGCTTTCCCTGCTGCTCCTGTGCTGCTGGCCGCAACCGATGACGAAGTGCTGCCAAAGCTCAGCCCACCAAACAGGCCAGCAGCACCCATTGCGCCGGATGCAGCTGCACCAGAACACGGTTCCAATTAACCAATTGAAGTAAACACAAACAGCATCATAAGCTGCCAAGCATGTCACGCTACGAGCCTTACCGCTTGTGGTAGCAGGCATAGTTGTAGACTGGGGGCCAAACAGACCAGCAGGCGCAGGTGCAGGGGATGCCTGAAGCAATGCCGGCGCCAAAGCTATATTTGCTGCTGGGCTTGCCGCAGAAGCTGCTGCAGAAGCAGAAGCCGCCTGATCGAGCACCGTGAAACTGGAGGCTGAAGCATGAAACATGCTCTCAGCTGCACCTGACCCGAATGTGGCAGCAGGTGCAGCGGTGAATGATGAGCTACTCTGTGCCTGACTGCTTCCTGACGTCGTTCCAAAGCCTAGAGACCCAAATTCGAATCTGGGACCTCCTGCTCCTGCAGGTTTAGTATCCACATTTATGGTTGAAGACTTAGACCAGGATCCAGCTGCTGCCGACGCTTCGGCTGGTGCTGCAGAGGCGGCAGCTTTATCTGGAGCTGACAATGCGGCACCCGCATTTGGAAGGTTTAAACCGAAGCCAAAGCCCCCAGGCGTGCCGTTGCTGCCAGATTGCGCACTTGTACTGACTCGTCCAAATGCTGGGCCCTGCTTCTGTTCAGGCTGATGCTCAGCTTGTTGTTGCTGTTGCTGCTGCATACGCGCCTGTGCAGCTGCCGCGGCTCGCATGGACTCCAACGACGGTACAGGGGGGGACGCCGCCACTTGTGGCTTGGCTGCAGGCGGCCTACTTGTCGCTGTGCTGCCAGCACTTGATCCAGAGTCCGTAGGCCTTGCAGAAGGCACCGGCTGCAACAGGCATCGAATTGAGGCCGTAAGATACATGAAGCTGGCAAACCAACACGCTGTACCATGGCATCTGTCAACACACATCCTTGGGTAAACTTCTTGCACATTCAACCCCATAATTCACCGGAAATGACCGTCCGCCTAAAACACACTTGTTTTCAGGATACGACCAGGTATACGCCACATACCTGTAGGGGGAGGGCCTTCTGTTGCAGCTGTGCAGCCTGTGCAAACAGGGTCATTGACGGCACAGGTGGTTGTCCTCCACCGGACGGCTGGCTTGATGCCGCAGCCGTTCTCGTAGCAGCTGTAGGTGCAGAGGAACCAGCACCAGCTTTGCTCCCTTGCTGTGCTTGGAGTTTACTGGCGGCTTGGAGCTGCGAGTCACACGAGTCAACGTACATTTCAGACCCTGAAGTACGCACAGTCAACCTCATGGTGCATTTCCCCTCTGGTTCAAGTTCAATCCGGTTCAGAGCCGCCCAAGTGGCGAAGTGCAATGCACTAAGATGCACGCATCACACACTCGAGCCCGCCACAACCCGCATAAACCTCGCCTGGGCCATTGTTGGAACTGGGGGCTGAGCAGCCTTTGGCTGAGGACCCGCCGCCGAAACCCCTGCTTGAGCAACTGAAGCCGGCCTAACAGCTCCCGCTGGTACGGCCGGTTTTGAAGTCAACGACGGTGTAGTCGGAATGCCTCCGGCTCCCACCATGGGCACTGTAACGAAGTTAAATCCCGTCGACTGTGCAGGCACGGGTGCCTGAGGTGCTGCAGCCGCTGCCTCAATACTGCAAAGACACCAAGCAAACAAAATTGTCACGTGACCAGGCTCCATCAAGAACACCACCCTCAAGACACAAAATGATCTAACCACCACTTGCTTGAGAATGACAGGTCAGCAATGTGAGCGAACAAGGTGGGCTGCGATGACCATAACGCCGACAGTTCCCGTTGGCGCGCACCTGAGTAGTCGTGTCAGCTTCACCTGGGCACGCGGGGGGGATGTGGGCTCCGGTGCTTCTGGCAAAGCACATCGGGCCGCCTCCGCGGCGGACATAAGCTGCAACAATGCAGCACCGGGGCGCTCCGCCGGTGTTTGCAGGCGCAGTGCGCTAGTAACGCGCACCTTTCCACCGATACGCGCCATCGCCTGTGACACCCCAGACATGCAAAATCACGGGCAAGATCCACGCCTGTCATAAACCTACTCCCAAGGGATTGAACTCCAAGGTGCCTCTTAAGGCTTCTTGCTGCGACAAACCTCCGCATGCAACCACAAGCATATTCCTTACAGATAGATATTCCATGCATCCAACTCAACAATCAAATGGTGAAGGCATGCGTGTCATGCATGGCTCTAAATTTTAGAGGATCGAAATCTTACCTGAAGCCGGGCGAGGAACCCGTCAACAGATCCAAGCGCAGACGGAGACGCACAATGTCGCTGCGGGCTGGGTGATGCAGTGTTTCCAGCACCCAGAAGCGGTGACCACCGACCATCCGTAGATTTGGGTGTGTGCCACTGTGTGTCGCTAATCACATTGTAAGTCCCCAACCAAGAACCGTACGGGACAGGACGGAGATTAGGACATAACTTCTTTGGCATTGCATGGACAGTACACGTGCTGGGTGGTAAGAAGATGCTGGAGAGGGGGATAACCATATACAATCAGTCACCATGGAAGGATTCGGTTAACAGAATCCCTGCACATGGTCAGGAGCGAAGGCACTTCATGGACGACTCCTAACAACCGTGACGGAGTCTGGTCACCCAAATATAATTTTCAGGGTGAGCCGGCATTTTTGCGTGCACGGATACACACCATCCAATGCATATGCAACACGCCCCAACCTGACTACGTACCTGCCACCGGCTGACTTTCCGTCTGGGGTTCGGGCAACCGCTGCAGCGGGCCTGCCGACAGCCGCGGCTGATGAACCGCGTGATACCACCACCACCCCATCACCGGCAGTTGAAGAGCCACCGCCTTGGCACCAAGCGGCCAGGCCAGCCAGTGGGCCACTGGGATCCTGCAGGAAACGAGGAGCAAATCAATTTGCACTATCTTGCAGAATATCATGTTTTGCGGTGCGAAAACTGCAACTCCTCCTGATCGTCAGATGCTACCCATCAAGCCCTAGTCCTCCTACCTTCATGAGCCCATGTGGACAAGCCCCCAGCTCTTCAAGCCGGGCAGTCAAAACCAAAATCCGGTTAGCCGCAGCAGACAGTACCGAGCCTGTGGAAAAATCAGAGTGATAATAAGGCGCGCTAGTAGAGGCAGTAAAATGTACAGCTAGTGAACCAAATCTTAGCGACGTTTAACTAAAAGAAAAAATCCAAGAACACACCCAGTGGGTAGGATACTTCAAATGGACTGCATTACTCACCTGCCGAAGCGAGCGTCTTGTATAACACGCTGGTTGAAAGCCGTGTAGCCGTTGATTGGTGGCCTGCTGTGAAGCAACAAGGCATCGTATTATTCTTAGTGAGGATAGTACAAGTCCAGCCTCAGCCATTGCACATGATATGCATAACAATGCTCCCTCCCTACCCAATCCTTCCCACCAATTCCAATCATTCCCATCCCCTCTCGCTTCACCAGCCCAGGCTGTCCCCGGCGGCCCCCTTGCCAGTTGACTCACCCTGCGGCGTCTCCCACGAGTCCAGCACGTCCTCCAGCTCGCAGAGGCATGTGCTCAGTGCCTGCACATGGGACATATGCCGCGTAAGGAAACTGTCAGGTGGGCCATCGCGACCTGGTGCTGTCCAATACGTATTGGAGCCGTGTAGCAGCACCACACAGCTGCCGCTCCTCCAAGCTAAACAGAAGTGTACAACTACTGAACATGGTGCCGTGTAGCAGCTCCACATGTTAACGTGCACGCCACAACGGTCGTTTCTCGTGTCAAAACATGTCCCCAGGGCATGCAAACATACGTACCTCGAGCCGTGTACTGATGTCTCGTCGCAATGTGTCAAGAGCAGGTTCCAGTGGCAAGTTGGCCTCAAGCGCCGTAATCGTCGAGGGGGCTGGGCGGCCGTCATTGCCACTGCCGCCGCCTCCAAAGAGCTGTAGCGCATCCAACATGCTTTGTAGCGACGCTAGGCCGTCAAACAGGCTTGCAGCACGCTGCACAGGAAGTGACACGAAAAGGTCGCCTTAGCAAAATCCCAAATGCCAAATCCGTATCAGCCATCAGCCGCACCTTGTTAGAACGTTCATACTGCGTGCGGAGGGCTGCCGCCCGGCGAGCAAGTGCTTCCACGCTAGCGCCTACAGCCTTGTATCCACGCTTGTCGCTCGTGCCACAAGCCTCCGGACACCCCGCAGCGATGTCCTTCATGGCCATCTCCATCTTGGCTGCCATCCGCCGCACCTCGTGAAGCTCGCGAAGAAAGCTTGCTTCGGCAGACGCCGCCTGTAAAGTGACAATCGCGGCATTGCACATAGATAGGGAAGACAGGCAGGAAATTAGACGGGTGAAGAGGTTCAATTACACAGCAACCCTCAGAAATTTCAGAAACAGATTAGCAAAGTTTTAAACTGCGGTGTAAATGCCTTTCGGTCTGCATAGGTAGGTAGATACAGCAAGGACCTGACAAAAAGCTATCTGCCATCTTGAGACAACGGAAGATCAGGCCTTGACCGTCAAGGGTTAGTCCCCACCCGAAGTCACCAACAAGCTTCAAACACCCCACTAAGGGCCAGCCAACATGCCCCACTAAGGGCGACCCGGTACATATATTTGGAAAACCATTGACATCCACACTCGTACTCGTACGGTGCCGTTTGCCCCCGCATTCCTTACCTCCTTAGACTCGGCCGCTAGCTGGGCTTTGGGTGGCGGCACGTCAGGACTCGATTGCCTGGACGGCACCGGTGCAGCTGCTGGAGCTTTCGAGGCTGGCCTCAAGATGTCGACTGCAGGAACCTTGGCGGCTGGCTTGGCGGCCGGCACGGCGGCTGGGCCCACCTTCCTTTCGCGAGGCGCCGCAGGCAAAAGAGGCGCTGCATTTAATGGGCAAATTGGAACAGGTGACAGTACTATCAGTGGGTTCATAACATCTGGGCCTCTCTATGCTGTTGACATTCGTTTCCAGAGCAGCATTGAGGCACACCACCGAAGAATGAAGGGCACCCTGCCATTATAATTGCACCACGGTGGCCAAAGGATCAAAACAATTAGCAACAGCTTGGACACAGCCTTGAAAATGTGTGCAGTGAATATATAATACATTGGCTGGTTAAGCATTTATGCCTTTGGATTCCAGGTATACAGTTTCTAATGGTGCACTTTCCCAACTCCCATCCACATTGAACTCCTGTCACAGTGTACAGCAATAGCGACATCCGGTGTGGTACAGACGGGCAACGTACCTCCGGAAGTCGGTGCAGATGAAAGGTGTGGCTTATCCTTGTAAAATCCAGTGGCTCCCTCGCAAGTGGTGAATACGAAGCCAGGCTTGGGTCCAGAGAACGTCGACGAAGGGATGAAGGTATCTGCGCAAGGGCCGAGGACCACCTCTAGCCTAAGATGACCTTGACGCCTTAGCACACACATGCCACGCAGGCATGCAGAATCCGTCAAATTATGTCGAATTCATCAGCCACATCAGCACAGAAAGCCAGGTCTTAATCCGGACGTCCATGCATGCGCACCAAGCTGCGTAGCTCGTGGTTCCAGGCTCACCTGTCGCGACAGGCGGCGAAAGCAGCCGTGCAGGAGGAGCGAAAAGGCCACCAGAACCTGCAGGCCCTGACGAGCACACAAGCTGCGGTGTTGACACGGCTCCGAGATGTAAAGTACCGAAACCGAGCGCCGGAGAGCTAGCAGTGCTGCAACTACCACCCGTCGCACTATTGAAGGCCAGGCTCGGCATTTCCTGGGCACCACCGACCGTTCCCGTTCCCGCTGTCCCTGTACCGAAGAGACCGGTAGACGAGGCGATGGCGGCACTAGAAGGACCCCCCACCGCGGCAGCGCTACTATCCCTGCTATCTGCCGCACCAGTACGGCCCGAAGGCACTGAGGAGCCGAACAGGCCTCCAGTAGCGCGAAGGGATGATCCAGCACCAAGGAAGCCGCCCCCAGCACTGGAAACTGGGCTGGTGGACCCTAAGGTCCCACCGACACGAGACCCAGCAGCAGAGGTTGCAGAGGTTCCAGCGAGAGACGTCGCAAAGCCGGTTCCAAACCCAGCAAACCCCGCCGCCTCCTCCGCGCCGGTTCCCAAAAGGGATGCGGGAGTGCTGCTTGCCGAAAAACGCGCACCTAAGGCTCCCAGACTACCCGCCATGCCGTCCTTCGCTGCGGCTGCCGTTGATGCGCTCAAGGCTGGAAAGGCAATGCTGCCCATCGGCAAGGCCGCCTGCTTGTTGGACGCGTGGGTAGCAAGGCTGCCCACAACGCCTGCACCATGATGGGCGAGTTGAACAGAAAGCGGCGTGTCCAGACTGATACATGAATTACGTGACGACTGCCATGAACTTTCATTTGCAAAAGCTATGCCTAAGTCCAGGCCTTTCACGAATGGCAACATAGCAGGTACAGTATCCCCTTGCCTGGAGCACAGCTAGCAAACGGCACACGCTATACTTCAGAAAACATAGTTTACAATAGTTTACAATAGTTTACAATAGTTCACGCCTACCACACCACCCTGGCAACATCACAGCTAAGCCCCTCGCATTGGCTTTGCCAGCGATCCAGAATCTGTAGAACAGCTGGCATTAGCCCACAAAGCCCGTCTAAGCGGGTTCTGAGGTCCGGCAAGGAGTACCCTACGCCTTCGGCCGCTGCCCTTGAGGAGGCGGCAGCAGGCGACTCCATGACGCGATCCACTCAGAAAGAACCATCTTTAGATGAGATTTACAAGCTGCTTCAGACCCATGCTACACAGACCAAGGCGTCCTTCGACTCCTTGCATAGCAAGACAGATGCGCTGGCTGCTCGTGTTGACTCGCTGGAAAAGAATATTCCGGAAATAATTACCAAAAAGGTGGAGACCGAAATGAAGCAGTTCGAAGTTCGGGCCGCGCAGTTCATCATCGAAACTGTGCAGTCTCAGCTCGCGGGGGCCCCTACGTTTGCGACCGACCGCACCGGGTCTAAACAGCGTAGGAACTTGACCGGCAAATCTGCCTACTACGATTCCGGCTCCCTGATCGCGTTTGGCGTCCCGGCTCTCGCGACCGCTAAGCAAGCAGCGGAAGCCATCACCCAAGTCGTCTCCGATGCCAGTGGAGGAAGCCTCCAGGCCTCCTTCCTCAGCGTCGAAGTACGCACTGAGAAGCCACGACCCAACCAGGCGGCCCCAACATACAACATCACCATCGGCGTCAACCCCCGTGTCCGTGGTATGCTTTTCCGACACAGCCAGGCCCTTAAGGCCATCGGCATCACCTTCCGGGATGACCTCACCCCGGCAGGTCGTCAGCTCAAGCAGGCTCGGAACGCGCAGTTCCTGCGGCTGCGTGACGAGGGCCGCAAACCCAAGTGGCTGGGCCCGTACATCGAGTACCAGCGCACCGACGGCATGTACTACATGGTCTCCAAGTACGACGTGTCCGACGTTCCGCCCCCCCCGCCCCAGCCCCCGGCCGGGAACGGGGCTGCAGCGGGCACAAGCGATGGACGCGTGACCACAGAGGGTGCTGGCGAGGGGAGCGCCACCTAGAGTGCTATGAGTCGTGAGGCTAAAGACATCAGGGTCTTGCTTTGGAACGTGTGGGGTTTGTCGGTAGCTAAGCTCACCGACCCATCTTTCCTCCGCATTGCCCAGGACCACGATGTGCTAGTATTTACGGAAACACACTGTTCGGCGCAGGCCGGGAAGCCGGCCAAGGCCCTGGCCCTGCCAGGGTTTCAACTGCATGTAGCTGAGCGAGCCTGTAGAGGCGGAGCCGGGCCCCAGACGGGCCGGCTGCACGGGGGTGTGTCTGTTTATATCCGGGACGCGATTGCCCGGGATGTCACTTTGTTGAGGGTTGACACGGATATTGCGGGCTGCGAGTCTATTTGGTTGCGTTTGGGCAGCAAGCAAACAGGTCAGGATAGCACCCTGGTGGGTGCATGCTACGTCTCCCCCAGGGCGTCGTTAGTACACCACGCGTCCCTGAGGGCACACGAGTCTGACGGACAAGCAGCGGACGAAGTGTTTGATCATCTGGCCACCGTCGTGGGCGCCCTCCGCCAGTCGGGTGAGAGGATCCTGCTTCTGGGGGATTGGAACGCGCGCGTGGGGGGGCTGCCCAACCACCTCTCCGACATCCCGGACCTAGACTATCTTGACGATTTAGGAGAGGAGGTCAGGTGCCCTTTTGTGGACGGCGAGGCATACAGAGCACTGCTGGGTGTGCCCCGCCGGTCGTTAGATCAGGAGCATAATGCGTTTGGACGTAAACTGCTCGAGTTGTGCCGGGTTTCAGAGGTTGTCATTCTCAATGGGCGGGCACCGGGTGACACTGAGGGCAGGCTCACATACGAGTCCAGCCGGGGGGGAGGCAGCATGATTGACCTTGTGCTTGCGTCCCCTTCTTTGTACCCGTGCGTGCGTTCCTTCCGTGTTCTGCCACAGCAATCTTTTTACCGTGAAGAACGCCGCTTGAGTGATCATAACCCCGTGTCCCTTCACCTCGCGTCGGTTTGGAGGCCGGACCGGCCACCCACGCGTAAACCCAAGCCGACGTTTCTTGTCTCTGAGGCGCACAGGTACACAGACATGTTCTACAACCCGGAGGCCCCCCCTGTGGTTGGTGTCCGGGCGGTTGTGGATTCCCTGCGTGCTGGCCAGATTGGTGTCACCCAGGCGGTGGACACTATCGAACGGATTTTGCTGGGTTGCTTCGGTGATGCCTTCAGGCCCGGGCCGGTTTCTAACGGCAAGGCGGCGTGGTGGAATGATGAGTGTGCTGCGGCTAAGCAGGCCATGTTGCAGTATCGGTCTGATGTGATGAAGTGGGGGTGTGCTGCCCCGGCTATGGGGCATACGAGTTTTCAAGAGTTACGTCGTCAGTTTAATCGTGCTAAGCGTAACGCGCGACGGGATCACCGGCTGCGAGCCTTGGAGTCATTCATAGCTACATGCAAACGGGATGCGAAGACCCTATGGCAACGTCTGAACGGTAAGCCAGCGTCCAGATGCAATGTGGAAGACGTGTCGGAGTGGACGGACTACTTCGATCGCCTTTATAATGCCTCAGCCTCCTTCGATGAGGTGCAGGAGGCCCGTGTCTGTGCCATTCTCAACTGTATCAATCTCGGTGCGGGCTCCCAAGTCGGGGCGGCGTGGCGCGATTCCGAACCGGTGCATGCTAGACGGTCTATGGCCGACACTATGAATGGTCCGTTCACTCTTGAAGAGGTTGAGGCGGCTTTGTCGTCCCTGTCTAATGGGCGTTCCCCGGGTCTGGGTATGGTTCCGGCCGAGTGCTACAAGTATGCCAAGCGAATCCCTCGTGAAGGTGACGAGGACAGGGTGTCTGTCAATGTTATTGCCCCTGCGATTCGAGACCTTTTCCAGCACATTTGGGATACAGGGGATGTGCCTGACCAGTTTTGCGTGGCGTCTCTCAGTCCGTTATTTAAGAAAGGCGACCCCAGGGTCAAGGACAACTACAGGGGTCTAGCTGTGGGATGCGCCATTGCCAAATGCTATGCCACGGTTCTCGACAGGCGGCTGGCAGCTTTCGTGGATAAAGATGGTGTCCGGTGCCGTTTTCAGGCTGGGTCCCGTCAAAAGCGCAGTACAGTACATCAGTTGTTCGTTGTTCGTCATCTTAAAAGTCGTTATGAGCGGCCCGGCAGCAATCAGGCCCTGTATGCGTGTCAGGTGGATTTTGAGAAAGCCTTTGATAGAGTGCCCCGGGCAAGCCTGTGGCAGCGTCTTGAGGAGAGGGGTGTGCATGGACCCATGTTGGCGGCCCTTAAAGCCAGCTATGAACGTGTTCTCCAACGGGTCAAGGTTAACGGTCGCCTAGGGTCCATCTTTGCCTCTCTGCAGGGCGTGAAGCAGGGGTGTCCCATGAGTCCCAATTTGTTCGGGTTCTTCATTGAGGTTATTGCCGACTACCTTGAAGCGAGGGATGGTATGGACGAATGGTTCAACACACGTGCACACGAATGTCCTGTCATTAATGATCGTCGGTTGCCTCTGTTGTTCTATGCAGACGACCTTCCTTTGTTCGCGACCTCGTTGGCACGCCTCCAGTTCTCGCTCAAGCTGCTTATTGAGTTCTGTGCTGCTTTTGGTA